GATCAGTCGTTCTGACGAAGTGAATTTCTACGTTACCATCTTCGACGTGATCCTTGATGAAGTGATATCTCAGTGCTATATGCTTGGTCTTGGAGTGTTGCACTGGGTTGTGACAAATCCTAATTGTGCTTTCAGAGTCACAATATAGTGGGATTTTCTTCATGTTTAACCCATAATCCCATAGTTGGCTTTGTATCCATACGACCTGAGATGTACAGGATGCTGCCGCAATATATTATGCTTCTGCAGTGGATACTGAAACACAGGTTTGTTTCTTCGATTGCCAACTGACTAATTTACCAACAAGAAATTGACATCCTCCTGTGGTGCTTTTACGATCCAATCCACAACCACCCAGATCTGCATCTGAAAATGCTTGAACGAAGAATCTTGAGTTGGCTGGATACCATAAGATGAGATAGGAGGTTCGCTTCAGATAGCAAAAGATGTTCTTCACGGCTTGAAGATGAGGTTCTCTTGGGTTGGCTTGAAATCGTGCACAGTAACAAACAGAAAACATTATGTCAGGTCTACTGGCTGTGAGATACATCAGAGATCCAATCATCTGTCGATAAAGTGTTACATCAACTGCTGGTTTCTCCAATGATGGTGTGAGTTTAGTACCAAAAGCCATAGGCACTTTTACTTTGGAGTCTCCCATCATTCCAAACTTAGTTAGCAAACTCTTAGTATATGCATCCTGATTAATAAAAATGCCTTCGGGTCCTTGTCTAATGTTTAATCTAAGGAAAAAGTTAATTGGACCCATTGAGCTCATCTCAAATTTAGTTTCCATCAACTTTATGAATTCAGCTGTTAAGCTAGGATTTGTGGAGCCAAGGATGATGTCATCAATGTAAATTTGGACTATCATAAGGTGGTTACCTTCTCGCTTACGAAAGAAGGTAGGGTCAACCGAACCTTGTTTGAATTTAGACATTTTTAAGAAACGAGTGAGAGTTTCATACAATGCTCTGGAAGCCTGTTTAAAACCATATACAGCTTTGTCAAGAATATAACAGTGATCAGGACACTTCTCGTTCACGAAGCCCGGCGGTTGCTCAACATATACGGTTTATTCAAGTTCACCGTTGAGGAAAGCACATTTGACGTCCATTTGATAGACTTCAAAGTTCTTGTGAGCAGCGTACGCAAGAAAGATACGAACAAATTCTAATCTTGCCATGGGAGCGAAGGTTTCTTCATAATCGATTCCCTCTTCCTGACAGTATCCTTTAACGACCAGTCTCGCTTTGTTCCGAATGACATTCCCCTCTTTGTCCATCTTGTTTCTAAATACCCATTTGAGACCGACAACCAAAGCATCCTTAGGAATTGGAATAAGACGCCATACCTTGTTTCGCTCAAATTCATTTAACTCATCATGCATGGTTTGAACCCAGTCTGAATGATTAAGAGCTGAGTTGATAGTCTTTGGTTCAATTTTAGAAACGAATGAATTGAACGTGCAGAATTCTACTTTTAAAAAAATTGCAGTCTGTTTCGCTTTGATTTGGGAGCGAGGTAACACTTTTTCCGATGATTCCCCAATAATTTGAGTTTGCGGATGATCTTTGGTCCATTTGACTAGTGGAGGAAACTTTGGATCATAAATAGGATCCAATTCAACGTTAATTTCTTTTCCTAGTTCGTACATGGTGTCATCATCACCAACATTGGTGTTCTCCCCCTCGAAAAATAATCCCTGTTCATCATTGACTTCCCAAAACTCCTTCATCTTGTGCATCTTTTTAACGAATAAAGTTGATACCTTGATGTATTTCTTTCTAGATCTCTTAAACTGGTTTTTATGAGCTTCTTGTCCCAAAGCTTGGACCTTTGTGACTATGGGTTACTCAAGACTATTTTGGCTATCCTTTTACATATATTAGCCATGCAAGAGTTTGATGGTGTTGAGTATGGATTAAGTTAGGGTTTTAAGGTTTAAGCTCTTTTCAGCCATGCAAAGGCATTTTATGGAGGTTAGATCTATGTCTGGATTGCGTGTATTAACTATCAAGATATTGTTGAGTGGTTTTTGGGATCATACGACATATGCCCCGCCTACTTCTGGCTACGCCTAGCGTAGCCAGGCCTGACCCCAACTTTTGTTGACTTTTGACTTTTTGTGAAGATTTAGGATTTTGGGCCATAAAAGGGGCAAAATGGTCTTTTTTTACCCTTAAGGGGCATACTTGTGGGATTTGGACTTGTGAGTTGAGTTATGGACCTTAATTATTAATTAACTTGACTTATTGTGTTATTAAGTGAAGCCTAGTTTCAGCAGATCGGGTGTGAGATTTATCTGTCATCAGTATTAGGTGTATCAC